GTTGTTCCTGTTATTTATGTTGTTCGTGAAGACCGAACACGGCGGCTGAGGTATATATGTATGAAAGTGGTAAGTTGTTCCTGTTATTTATGTTGTTCCTGAAGATCGAACACAGCGGCTGAGGTATATATGGATGTAGTGGTAAGTTGTTCCTGTTATTTATGTTGTTCCTGAAGATCGAACACAGCGGCTGAGGTATATATGTATGTGGTGGTAAGTTGTTCCTGTTATTTATGTTGTTCGTGAAGACCGAACACGGCGGCTGAGGTATATATGTATGAAAGTGGTAAGTTGTTCCTGTTATTTATGTTGTTCCTGAAGATCGAACACAGCGGCTGAGGTATATATGTATGTAGGGGTAAGTTGTTCCTGTTATTTATGTTGTTCGTGAAGATCGAACACGGCGGCTGAGGTATATATGTATGAAAGTGGTAAGTTGTTCCTGTTATTTATGTTGTTCGTGAAGATCGAACACGGCGACTGAGGTATATATGTATGTAGTGGTAAGTTGTTGCTGTAATTTATGTTGTTCGTGAAGATCGAACACGGCGGGTGAGGTATATATGTATGAAAGTGGTAAGTTGTTCCTGTTATTTATGTTGTTCGTGCAGATCGAACACGGCGGCTGAGGTATATATGTATGTAGTGGTAAGTTGTTCCTGGAATTTATGTTGTTCGTGAAGATCGAACACAGAGGCTGAGGTATATATGTATGTAGTGGTAAGTTGTTCCTGTAATTTATGTTGTTCGTGAAGATCGAACACGGCGGCTGAGGGATATATGTATGTAGTGGTAAGTTGTTCGTGTTATTTATGTTGTTCATGAAGATTGAACACAGCGGCTGAGGTATATATGTATGTAGTGGTAAGTTGTTCGTGTTATTTATGTTGTTCATGAAGATTGAACACAGCGGCTGAGGTATATATGTATGTAGTGGTAAGTTGTTCCTGTTGTTTATGTTGTTCGTGAAGATCGAACACAGCGGCTGAGGTATATATGTATGTAGTGGTAAGTTGTTCCTGTTATTTATGTTGTTCGTCAATATCGAACACGGCGGCTGAGGTATATATGTATGTAGTGGTAAGTTGTTCCTGTTATTTATGTTGTTCGTGAAGATCGAACACGGCGGCTGAGGTATATATGTATGTAGTGTTAAATCAAGCTCAGGAGGGAATAGTCGATCGATATGGTCAGTAGATTTTTTATTATAAAAGAACCTCGTCGATTTATCAAGATATGAGATTGAAGGCCTTGGCTCAGTATTGTTGTTACCAGTCGCGGTAAGTTTATAAATACATTCAGCTTTAAATGAAAACAAAAATGATTGGACCATAAAAAGGGCACACCTTATTCACATAGATTCCCCAGAGACTGCCAGAAAACCTTGTCACCGAACTAAACAACAATATTGTCAACTAGGCATTCAATCATTCTCACCATACTATTCTCGGTATATATTCATTCTCGGTATATATTCATTCTCGGTATATATCATTCTCGGTATATATTCATTCTCGGTATATATTCATTCTCGGTATATATATCATTCTCGGTATATATCATTCTCGGTATATATTCATTCTCGGTATATATTCATTCTCGGTATATATCATTCTCGGTATATATTCATTCTCAGTATATATCATTCTCGGTATATATTCATTCTCGGTATATATTCATTCTCGGTATATATTCATTCTCGGTATATATCATTCTCGGTATATATTCATTCTCAGTATATATCATTCTCGGTATATATTCATTCTCGGTATATATTCATTCTCGGTATATATTCATTCTCGGTATATATTCATTCTCGGTATATATTCATTCTCGGTATATATTCATTCTCGGTATATATTCATTCTCGGTATATATTCATTCTCGGTATATATTCATTCTCGGTATATATTCATTCTCGGTATATATTCATTCTCGGTATATATTCATTCTCGGTATATATTCATTCTCGGTATATATTCATTCTCGGTATATATTCATTCTCGGTATATATTCATTCTCGGTATATATTCATTCTCGGTATATATTCATTCTCGGTATATATTCATTCTCGGTATATATCATTCTCGGTATATATTCATTCTCAGTATATATCATTCTCGGTATATATTCATTCTCGGTATATATTCATTCTCGGTATATATTCATTCTCGGTATATATTCATTCTCGGTATATATCCATTCTCGGTATATATCATTCTCGGTATATATTCATTCTCGGTATATATTCATTCTCGGTATATATTCATTCTCGGTATATATTCATTCTCGGTATATATTCATTCTCGGTATATATTCATTCTCGGTATATATTCATTCTCGGTATATATTCATTCTCGGTATATATTCATTCTCGGTATATATTCATTCTCGGTATATATTCATTCTCGGTATATATTCATTCTCGGTATATATTCATTCTCGGTATATATTCATTCTCGGTATATATCATTCTCGGTATATATAGCATTCTCGGTATATATCATTCTCGGTATATATTCATTCTCGGTATATATTCATTCTCGGTATATATTTCATTCTCGGTATATATCATTCTCGGTATATATCATTCTCGGTATATATTCATTCTCGGTATATATTCATTCTCGGTATATATTCATTCTCGGTATATATTCATTCTCGGTATATATTCATTCTCGGTATATATTCATTCTCGGTATATATTCATTCTCGGTATATATTCATTCTCGGTATATATTCATTCTCGGTATATATTCATTCTCGGTATATATTCATTCTCGGTATATATTCATTCTCGGTATATATTCATTCTCGGTATATATTCATTCTCGGTATATATTCATTCTCGGTATATATTCATTCTCGGTATATATTCATTCTCGGTATATATTCATTCTCGGTATATATTCATTCTCGGTATATATTCATTCTCGGTATATATTCATTCTCGGTATATATTCATTCTCGGTATATATTCATTCTCGGTATATATTCATTCTCGGTATATATTCATTCTCGGTATATATTCATTCTCGGTATATATTCATTCTCGGTATATATTCATTCTCGGTATATATTCATTCTCGGTATATATCCATTCTCGGTATATATCATTCTCGGTATATATATCATTCTCGGTATATATTCATTCTCGGTATATATATAATTTTCGGTATATACCATTCTCGGTATATATTCATTCTCGGTATATATATCATTTTCGATATATACCATTCTCGGTATATATTCATTCTCAGTATATATCATTCTCGGTATATATATCATTCTCGGTATATATATCATTTTCGGTATATACCATTCTCGGTATATATTCATTCTCGGTATATATATCATTCTCGGTATATATTCATTCTCGGTATATATATCATTCTCGGTATATATATCATTCTCGGTATATATCATTCTCGGTATATATTCATTCTCGGTATATATCATTATGTTCACACCTTTGTTATAGCCATGTGGAGTAGCAGTGCCAGTAAGTCATATTTAATAACTCGTTCGTTGACGGGATAGAGTGATTATGAGGATGATTGATTTCCCTAAAACGCTGATTAGGGTCGTAGACATGGTCACGGAGGTTATAGTGGTTATCTAAACATTTAACTCTCCACGGTCGAACTATTTAGTCGGTGTTGTAATTGTGTCATCAACATATATTACTCACATCAAACATATACAACATTGAGAATGGCTCAAACAAGTGTGTGCCTACTGTTATATAACCACAACTAACACGATGATGGCGTAATATATTCTGTTTAATCTCGGTCACTTGAATGTTTTACATACGTACGCTTGGTGATGTATTGTGTTAAGCATGTATGTGAATCAGATAGTATTACTCGAACTACGTATAACAAACTGCATGTATAACTGAACCATTATAGTGCATGACATCCTTCCCCTTAAGTAAAACATGAATTTGTTATTCATTTAATAAAGAGAATTATATGAAATGTAAGTGTGATAAGCACTGATATAAAACTGGTAAATTATTTTTAACCGAGTCCGATGAACTTTAAGTATCCTAACTCCTATATTCCTAGACAGTCCTATCATGAACAATTAACATGAAATTGAACTTTGAAATTGTACTTTAACAGTCGATAAACACTATTTGTGTTTCGCATAAATCACTGGCACGTTAGAATATCAACACGTTTTGTAGCTTAATTCAAATGGCACAGCGTAAAATAAACACGTTAAATTTCCATAAAGAATATCAGAATCAATCATTCTGGGAGTGCAATTTTCAGATATTGAACTTTGAACACGTTCAACTTTTTTTTTTAACACATTTCACATTTGTTGATATTACACATTTCGCACTTGTTGATATTTCCCAGATTTTGCACTTTTCTATAATATTTAACACAATTTGCACATTTTCTATAGCACAATAATTCGCCACTTGACTTCGCAACACTTCAAGCGACATAATCACGGTATTTCCTATTCGGCACAATTACTCGCCCTGATCTATTTTTTTGCGGCGTTGACTGTTCAGAGATCGACGGCGGATTCAGATGTTTCTGAATTGTGTTTTAACTTGCGTTTTGTTGTTTATCAGCCGTTACAAACGTTTCTCGTGGTTGCATTTCGGTTGTCGGAATGAACGGCTCATCGTCGTGATCCAAATCAAAGGGAAATTCCGCCTTTGTAGGACGAAGGTGTTTGCGGTCTCTCCTGTATTTCCTTCCGTCGTTTGTTTTGACGATGTACGATCTTGGGTTGTGATGTTGTTGCGAAATTGTAGCTGGAATCCATTGGTTTTCCTTTGCTTTCTGCATAATGACATGGTCACCTTGATTAAGTGGTTTAAGAGATTGACCACTATGTCTGTCATAGTAAAACTTCTGTTTTACTTGTTTTGCCCTCATGCGCGTTTTAAGGTAGTTTGAGCACGTGACATTCCGAGTTAGAAGGGGTGCGGTGGTTGGCAAATCAGACTCTAAACGTCTGCCAAGAAACATTTACGCGGGAGAAAGTTTAATTTCCTCAATAACTGTGTTTCCGTAATCCAACAAGGCTTTGTATGGATCATTAGCTTTGCGAAGTAGATTATTCACCGTTTGTACGCAGCGTTCGGCTTGACCGTTAGATTGTGGAAAATGGGGGCTCGAGGTTTCATGTTGGAACCCATACTGTTTTGCGAATTCGTTGAATTCCGAGCTTGCGAATTGCGGTCCATTGTCTGTAATTAATTTGTCCATGAATCCATATCTGGAACACTGATTCTTCAAATACTGAATAGTATTGTTACTGCTCATGTTGTCGAGTTTCGCCAGTTCTGGCCATGTCAAGTAATGGTCAACGGATAAGAGGTAGTTTTGTCCCTTATACTCAAAAAGGTCTGCCGATACAATTGGCCATGGCCTAGTAGGAACTTCTGTTTCAACCAGCGGTTCTTTGGGATTCCGGTTCGAGTGCTGTGCACAGATGGAACATTTCGAGACTATATCTTCCACTTCAGAAGACATGCCTTGCCAGAATAACGTATCCCTTGCTCGTGACTTGCATTTGACGATTCCAAGATGCGAACTGTGTATGGTTTTCAACATTTCCGGTCGTAGGGTTCTAAGAACAACAAATTTGTGGCCTTTAAATATCAAGCCATCTACACATGATATCTCGTCGCGAATATCCCAGTATGGTCTAATACTCAATGATATTTGTTCCCTCCTTTCCGGTCAACCTTCCAGAACCATTTTCTGTAGTTGCTGTAATTCCATATCATCAGCTGTAGCTTTGCGAAATTCTTGGAACTTTGTAGGCGACACGGGTAAGTACGACAACAAGTGTACCTCATTGATCGCAATATCCGGAACCAAGTTCTCGTCCGACTCTTTGAGAAAGGCACGACTTAATGTGTCCGCCAAGAACGTCAATTTTCCGGGTTTGTAAGTGACGTCCATGTCATATTTCTGCAATGTCAGCAGTATCCTTTGTAGGCGAGGTGGAGCCTTGTGGAGCGGTTTTTTAAATATTGTCTGCAATGGTTTGTGATCACTCTCCACGATCACATGCCTGCCGAAAACATACTGATGGAATTTCGTGCTACCGTCCGCAATTGCCAATGCTTCCTTCTCTATCTGGGCATACTTTTGTTGACAAGTCGTCAATGCCCTCGAGGCAAACGCAAGAGGCTGTCCTTCCTGGACTAACGCTGCACCAAGTCCCTTTGAGCTAGCGACTACTGTATATACAAGTTCCTTAGTTTTGTCATAGTCACGCAGAACAGGTGCCTTGGTAACAAGATTCTTCAGTGTTTCAAAACACGATGTGTGTTCCTCTTCCCAGTGCCATGCTATGTCCTTTTGTAGCAGTTGACGTAATGGCGCAGATTTATCCGACAAACTAGGAAGAAACTTTCCCAAGTACTGCAGAAACCCGAGGAATGTAATCAATTCCTCTTTACTTTTCGGCGGGTCCATTTTCTGTACTGCTCGTACCTTTTCTGGGTCTGATTTGACACCATTATTGGAGAGTTCATGTCCAAAGTAAGTTACGCTGTCCTTCTGAAATTGACACTTTTCCTTGCTCAGTGTCAGATTGTACTCGCTCACACGTTCGAGAACATGTGCAAGCCTTTCATCATGCTCAGCCATGTTGGCTCCCCAGATCAGTATATCGTCCACTATCGAATCACTTACCTTGATATTTTGTACCATTTCCGATATGGCCATCTGATATACTTCCGGCGTAGACTTTATTCCGACTGGGAGGCGGGTAAATCGATATCTCCCAAATGGACTATTAAATGTACACAACCTTGAACTTTCTTCATCAAGGCAGATTTGCCAAAACCCGGATGTGGCGTCAAGTTTCGAAAATATCTTGGCATCCGAAATTTCCAGAACTACATCTTCGACAGTTTTCATGGGTTAATGTTCACGAAGGATTGCTTTGTTTAGATCCCGTGGGTCTACACATACGCGTATCTTCTCATTGGGTTTTACGACAGTCAACATTGAGTTCACCCACGGCGTCGGGTCAGACTGCTGGACAATAACACCTTCTTTCTCCATGCGATCGAGTTCGGCTTTTACCTTGTCTTTTATCGCTAAAGGAATTTTCCTTGGAGCATGAACGACAGGTTTAACAGTCTGATCCATTTGTATTTTGTGTATTCCTGGTAGGCACCCTAATCCTTGAAACACGACAGAAAATTGTTCTAGATTGGCAGGAAGACCCTTTCCCTTTTTTCAGCTTTATCCACCGTGTTTACACGCTGAACTAGCTCCAATTCCTTGCACGATTTGGCTCCAATAACTGGTTTGACGTCGCGATCAACCACATGAAATCTTAAGTTCTTGACATTTTCCTTGTATTTGCACTTAAGGGCTGCCGTACTTTCGGTTTAATGATGTGTCCCGAATACGAACGGAGAGGTATCCCTGATCCTGATTTCAGCTTGTGAACTGCATGAATCTTTTTTAACGTCTTTAGACTGATTACATTGCACATAGCTTCCGTGTCTAACTGGAATAACAGCGACTTACCTTCCATTGTAACGGTTTCACACCATTCAGTTTCAACAGAGTTTATCTCCGTCTCCAACATCCAACATAGAACTCGTTATCTGAAGAGGTATTTTCACCATCTATGGTATGTACACTTTTCTTCGTTTTGCATAATTTGGCAAAGTGATTTTTCCCGTGGCATTTCATACAAGTTTTTCCAAAAGCTGGACAGTTTTCATGTAAACCACTTCCGGTGTATGAATATCCACACCTTGAACAAGTATTTTCCTTCGCTTTCGCTGGGCGTTTGAATTTGTTCGGTTTATTCGATTTACGGTAAGTTTTACCGGCACCACTGTCTTTAAACTGATGCTGTTTGGCTTTTGCGAGTGCATTTATTTTCGCATCTTCCCCGGCCTTTGACTTTGCCTGGGCATGCGACAGTGTGTTCTTGCTATGTCGAGAGTTTTTACAAGTGTTAGATCGTTTCCAATGTTAATGAGTTTTTCTCAGATTTTCGAATTTCTCACACCGATAACAATCCGATCCCGGACCATTTCATCCGAATTATCATGGTTACAATCTCTCACTGCAGTTTGTAATTGCGTCGTGAACTGTTTTACTGTGAAATTTATATCTGTTATAAATCACATTTGACCGTGGTTTCACATATTGTTCAAAACGTTCGTAATAATACTTAAGTTCTTTATTTTGATCCTCTGTGAGGTTCCACGTTGTAAACATGTTCCTGGCCTTTTCTCCTGACCAGATCATTAGGTAAGCACATTTTTCGGGTTGTGTTTTCGCCAACAGCGGTCCCGAGAACATACAATCCACGTATTGCCTGAAACTTTTTCATGCAAATTCCATATCCTGGCTGTGTCAGTCCATCATCGTTGTTGAGCCCACAAGCGCTTCCATTTTGGCGTAGACGTAGACGTAGACTTGGTGATATATTGTGTTAAGCATATATGTGAATCAGATAGTATTACTCGAACTACGTATAACAAACTGCATGTATAACTGAACCATTATAATACATGACACCTACAAGGAATGCTGTCATTCCCAGGGAACACGACAACGATCAACAGAGTACGATGTGACAGGTACTCGTTCGGTAGTTTCGGCAAAAATGTTATTTACTGACATCAATTACATCCTTAAATGTTTAAAGCCGAATGTCTGAGTCATACTGACATAAATATATCAAAGGGTTTCTATATATTGGCGTGAAAGATTGGTATAGGATGTCGTACACTTTATTGAATGTGAACATTTCTAATACAACATTAAAAGGAATGGTACATAAAAAGCACACATACATAAATCACACGAGCTTTTGCCCTTGATAAGTACAGTAATAGAAGACCTCGGTGATGAAACAGACGATTGGTGTATGAAAACGGTTTTAAATCAACGTTTTTTCACTCTACCTTGACATAAGGAATAGTCCAGCATATGCAAAAAATGTACATAAATAATGATCTTCTGACAATCTTTACGCGTATACGTGACAACGCAGAGCTTTGCATGGAAAGTTGAACGCACGACACACATTTAATTGCACCAAACCAAAATTGGAAAATAGATACAGTATGATGTATACTGCACCAAAGCGTAGTGTGGTGGCTCTATGACTAATCGTTGATGTTGCTAGGGGCCGAAAAGGTGAACATCCTAATTCGTCTAAATCAATGTTAAAACAGACTGGGCGATGCACACAACTTCATACTGTATACGAGTTTCAAAGAATAAGAGGGTACATGTTCATTTCAAATGAATAAAGTGTAACGTGTGTAAACTTGAACCATGTCACTACTCAAAATTTGTTTGTTGATACGATGTTACATGTTTTAATGCATTTACTTTTTATTGACAGGTCTTTTTGTTTGTTGATAATATGACACATGGTTTAATGCATTACCGTTTTATTGACAGGTGTCTTTGTTTGTTGATACTATGTTACATGTTTTAATGCATTACCTGTTTTATTGACAGGTGTCTTTGTTCGTTGATACTATGTTACATGTTTTAATGCATTACCTGTTTTATTGACAGGTGTCTTTGTTTGTTGATACTATGTAACATGTTTTAGTGCATTACCTTTTTATTGACAGGTGTCTTTGTTTGTTGATACTATGTTACATGTTTTAATGCGTTACCTGTTTTATTAACAGGTGTCTTTGTTTGCTGAAGCTGAGGTACATGTTTCGATTCGTGGATGCCGTGACACATTTGCTTATTTGTTGATGATCTTGAACATGTCATCTTGGTCGATGCGGAGATAAACCTTCCTGTTCGCTGATGATGTGTCACCGCTCCCTTTTTATTGACATTGTTTGCTAATGTTGAGAAAATAATGTTCCTCTTGGTTGATGCTCTGACACTTGTCCTTGTTTTTGATGTTGTGATACATATCCTTGTTTGTTAAGTTTCTTGTCCCTCGGTTCTCTGGTGTATATCATTGGTTGTCCTTTTAGTTGTTGTGAAAATCTCCTATACATATCATATGTTAAATAAATTCAAACGTTTACAACTGTTATGAAAAAAAGCAAATGTAACACACTGGCAATACATAGACAAAATCAGAACATATTTTCAATTAAAAAAAGAACAAGAACAATAAAGGCAACATGCTAAGAAAGAATCACAAAACAAAAACAAGACATGTACTGTTCCCTCAATAAGACCAATCAGTTTGTAAATACGTGATAACACTTATACTCAAACAATGAACGTACTACACGTGTTGCAACATTCACAAGTCCTTGTGTAAAGTTATAAACCACATGATTGACCCACGTAAAATCCGTACAAATATGTCCGTAATAGATTGATACACGCTGGGGTTGATGCTGACTTCCTGTAAGTGGGAATGACGACAACCGGTCATTTGTATTCAAAGAATACTTCCCAGACTAAATAGTTCATTGATCAACAAATTCTGTGACATAGAATAAATACCGAACTTATTGTGTACTTTGGAACTTCGTAATATAATGCTAATGGCAATGTACAATTATTATTGTACATGAAGCTACTGATAAACGGAAAGTATGCCTTGATCATTTAACGTCGGCCCGTTAGGAACTGGG